AGAGAGAGAATGAGAGTATGCGTGTACCAAAGACAGAGAGAGAGGGAGAGAGAGTGAGAGAATGCGTGCAGCAGAGAGAAAGAGAGGTTGGAAGATAAAGAAAGAGGGGAATGGAAGAAGCAGGGAGAAAGAAAGAGAGAGCGGGTCGTTCCGAATGACAGCCGAGGAAAACTTTACCGCGATCGGCTAAATCCGAACGAACGCGTTGCTCGCTTAGACTCGATCACGCTCTCCGTACCGTCCGCACTGACACTCGTTTCCAAGCTCGACCTCGTCGGCTCCCCGATTCCGGCTTCGTTTATTTTCGTCGCTCCTCGGCTCATGCGGCAACATGGCGTCGTTTTGCCTCGCACTTCGAAATCCTCGTTCGACTGTTCTGTTTCGCGCCTTCGATTTTCCCATCGTGGCAGTCGCTGCGTTTCGTTCGCGCAATCAACGATTCCGAAATTTTAAATTTCGTCGCTGCAATTGCTAAAATTTCGTATCGATTAATCGATCGATCCAAGCTTTTCTTGTATTGCATCTAAGGACGCACAGTGGCCGATTTGGCTAAAAGTGAATTTTAGCCGGCCAAAAGTCAATTTCAAAAATTTCACCATAATTGAAAAAATTTTTTTTATGGAACAGTTAAACGTGTAATGAATAAGGTACCAATAGTTTTCTTTTTTTTAATGTTTGCTGAAAGTTTGGAGTTTTCGTTAGACACGATTTGGTCTTCTAATTTTTTGAAATAGCTTTGTACGCTTCGAAAAAATTGTGTATATTTTTGACCAGGCTGAAAGCTTTACAGGTAAATATATACTGTGCTCTACATAATATTTCGTAACTATTTATATTTAAGCGTTATTTATAATTAGTGATATTACTTACAAGTATAATACTTCATGAATGATTTTGATACGCTTCAGGGTGAGTTCTGGCTTTCTTTCAAGCACTATCGTATTTGGTAAAGGTTTATGTTTATTATACAAAAATAAATTTTTTCTTCCAATTCGCCCCTTCTTTTAGCGTTGGAAGACCAGTTCGCGACCGCGTGGGTTTTTCTATAATAAATATTTATTGACCTATTATATATTATATAATTGATTGTTATTTCTTAATTATTGTTAGTAATGATGTATTATAATATTCTTATTGTTATTTATCATATTTTATACTATGTAATGTAACTCACTCTATATAAACATACAATTTTGTATATAAATACATATGATTATAGATATTTATCATTTATTTCTTTATTATCTATTATATAATTTATTATTATTATATATCATTACATCATACTGCCATATTTTCTTGAAAAATTTCAGTACAAACTGCTCACAACTGTAATACTTCATAAATGATTTCCTTATACTTCCCGATAATATTTGGTAAATATTACTGTTTATTATTCAACAACAATTTTTCACCCATGTTTACCCCCTTTTTCTTAGAGCACTATTTTATACTGCGACAGAAACCGTTTAATTACTTGTTCGCGGTCAGGTACTTGTATACTTAATATTTATCAACTTATGACATACTATACAATTCTTTGTTATTATATGTTAGCATCTATTGTATGATTATTATTATTCATTATATACTATTTAATGTAACCCATTCTATATAAATATACAATTTTTTATATAAACATATATAATTATCAATATTTAATGTTTATTTATTTATTATGTACTTTATAATTGAGTTTAATAATTATTACTATATTATAATATACGTACATAATCATATTTTGTCGAAAAAATTGGATGTATAGTCAGTTGCTTTCAATTTTAGCCGGATAAAACGTGGGAATTTTTTAAGAAATTAAACACGAACTAATTATACATAAAAAATTTACATTAAATTAAGCATGAATTACGTGATATCTCATTTTTTTCAAAAATGGACTTACACCACTTTCAAAACAAACGGTCCATATATATATATATAAGAAGTGATCGGGGTCCAGGTATATACAGCGCGTAGTCACGGCCCTGCATAGCTGTGGCCGGCGAGCGATGGCCGTGTGGCGCGAAAGTTCCATTCGCGGACATTTTCTTACCCTGTCCGAAAGAAAAACCGATGTCACGCTTCCCACGGGGGGGTTCCTCTTCAGAAATGTCTCCAGAATCCAATGGTGCACAGCAAATTCGTGCTGGCCAACCCACTTTTCGTAGAAATGTAACAGAAGTGCATACAAAGTACGCGCATCTATCTTTTTTAAACTTTGGTCACCGTTTACAAACATTTAATGATACGCAAAATTCAAAATTTTTATAGCTACGTAATCGGGCAAGTCTCCTTTATTTTTTGCAACAAATTTTAACCGCCTATCGTTTTTAATTTTCACGTAACACTTGGTTTTCTGAAAAATTCGACCGATTTTACAAAATCCCAGTTTTTTCGAAAACTGGACCTGACCCAGCAATTTGGTTTTCGGATTCGTATTTAGGGTAAGGAACTCTATAAGAATTACATAGTGGCTATTGCAAAAACTAACATTGATCAAAATTTGTTCCACAGTGCTACGCGACGATTCGTCTTTCGCGGTCGATTGAAACCGAGACCTTTGTCTTTTAGAAGAGGTTAGCTCCAATGACGTTTAGTTCTTCAGCCTACTACAATCGTGAATCCGTGTCGCGACGGTCCTTTTGAATCGCGACGAGCGGGTCGCTTTTAGAAAAGCATTGAAATCACCGAATTTGCGCGCTCATCGAGCGAACGATTCGAAGCAGAGGCATAACATAATACATACATAGTATGTATATATATATATATATATATATATATATCGAAACCATGAACGCGACTATCAATCCGACGAATACAAATATAAATACAAAAGGTACCCGTATCGTGCTGTATCGCAATACCCTACACGCGGTTGGAATCTCTGCTATCTAAAAAAAATCACTCGGAAGTACCAGGAAAAACGTGGATTGCAGCGATTCTTTCGCTACCGGTGATTTTTAAACAATGGAAAATCGTGCATGGCGAATCCGAGGTGAATTCCGTACAATACGCGGACAGTGGAGTACGCGATCCCCGAAGGTAAATACTTACACTTACACGACAGCGGTATAACGCGCACGCGTTAATTTCTCTACTCTTTCTCGTAAACTTCGTATCACCGTAAATACCTAACTCGTAGATACGGTTCTGACTGGCGTTGTCGCGAATGAAGCGGTCGGGCGTGGCTGAGCACGTTTCGAAAAGGGAACTACCATGTCGACCGAAGGCATGGGTCTCTTACGAAAAGATTCTCTCGAGCGTGGCGCTGTACTCGTACACGCGACGCGCAAACCGTTTATGTTTACAGGAAAGTCGCGTTGCAGGAATGTTACGAACCTCACGACAGAAAAGAACAGGTTGTACTTACGAGATTTCAAAGAAACGCACGCTTTCGGTCCGGCTTCGAAGAGTACCTAGAAACTCTGAAAGCGAGCTTGGGAAAGGTTGATCGTGCGACTCCGTTTCTCGCCCCATCTAACGGAAACGCATCGCACGTTGGTTCATTGAGAATCGTGTTTCGTCTCTCTAGTCGGCTGGTTGGTTTCATCGGCGGAGTCGAGCATGGTTCGAAGATGGCGATACGGGGGTAGGGTTCAGCGAACGCTTCGCGAGCAAATCTCTTCGTGGCCGAGATAGCTAAAATTTCGAACCGCTCCGTTTCTGGTGAGTAGAAATTTCTTTAACGATGGGTACTTGGCGTAAATGCGTTCCCGCTTCGTGTTCGTGACCGATGGGGTGCAACGAACTGGCGGGAAATTCGCACTGCCCGACCGATGAAATCTCGCGATACTCGCGAGCCATCCTCTTTCGAGACTGGGAAGTTCAATGCGCACAAACGTGTGTCGTGTCCTGTTTCGTTCGCGTTTCGTCCGCGATTCGTCTCGTCTCGTCTCGTCCTATCATGTTTCCTCGTGCCCAGTCGTTTCTCTTCGCGAGTGCTCGCGTCCGATCGCGCGCGATCGCATCTCGTCGCGATTCGTCGCGACAGAAAACCAGATCGCGAGCTCTGAAGAGCGTGAGAGGGGGGGAGAGAGAGAGCGCGCACGATACGCGTGCTTGCGTCCGTATATTCGAGCTCCCTTTTCTTTTCTTCCTCCACGCTCCACGCGAGCAAGAATCCACGTGAAACGATTGCTTCGATTTTCGTTTGGCGAGTCGAGCGAATAGCGCGCGCACTCGCCCATCCTCTTTACTTTTCTCTCTTGCTCTGTAACACACCGAGCGTTGCACGATTTTGCCGAGAAAAATATATAAAATGAAAATAATGGTATACCGAGTTATGTAATCGAATTGCGTTATTATTATAGCAGGTTTATCTTGTCGAATGTCACTGCAGTAGGTAGTGTTACTTGTAATGTAGAAAAGTTTTCAAATAATCATCGTTTAATCGAATAAATGATAATAATTCGATTTGGTTGACGTCACCGGTGACCCCCATGGCACCCAACGTGTTAACGGTAGTAGTACCCAGCACTTAAATCGTCTTTTGAAAATGTCCTTATAAAAACTACACGAGTGGATTTATTAACATTTCAATTGGTTTATACTTCAGTTTAGGTATTACTAAATAAACTTGTTTAATCATTTCTTAAACAAGCATCTGTACGTTTGCAATCATTCTAACAGAAGAAATCAGCAATTGGTGATTTTGACCCAGCTGGTAGTTCTAGTGTTAATTTCCGTCTCTTTTCTTCTTTCATCTTTTCGCGAATGAAAGCTCGTGGAAATGATTTACGGTGGAATCATAGAAAAGAACCGAGAATAAATGAAAAGCGAATCGATATAGCGTAACCCTATCGGATTGCATCCTTGGTCGAATTTGTATCGCCGCGTTCCGATAGAATTCCCTGGTATTTGTTTCTCGAGCGTACTGGTTGAAAAGCGATTAATCGATCGACGAAAGGAGACGAGCTTCGGACTCGGTCCGCTCAACGTATTTCCATTTTCTAGTAAACGCTCGGCGGCGACCCTCGACGTCGCGTCGCCTATGTCGATGGATGGCTCGCGGGATAAAAAACGCGGCGCGGCGCAAAGGGCGTGCTTATGGGTAGGCGAAGCGATAAACAGCTCAAAGAAATGCCTTCGGTATTTCTCGTTTCTTTCAGATGGTGGCGGGTTCTTGGCTTTTCACTAATCGAGAGGGTGGTTCGCAGAAGGGAAAAGGTTAAAGCTACTAACACAAGTATATTAATTCAGACCAGAGCAAACTCGTATCCGCGGACGTCGCGTATCATTTTCGAGGGAGTCCCCTCCGAACTTTTAGCCGAACGACCGAAGGGAGTACTCGTCTTCGTTCTCATTCTCGGTTTCGTCTGAAACACAGTCTAGTCAAGTAAGAAAGAGACTCTTTTCAGCAGAAATTACGACGCGACTGAGATAAGAGGAGATTGTAGGATCGACTCGAAACTCGCCCCGAACGTCGAAGCGTAGTCATGGAAGCGCGATACGCGAGCAAATTGTATCACGAATCGTTCCCTCCGTTGTTTCGTGTATTACTATACTATTCTCCGTATCTCGGAAAAGTAGAGCAATAGAGGAACTTGTCCGATACGATTCGCACCCTCCGGTACGACGATCGCGTTTTCGTCGCGTCGAAATTACTAAAGCAAACACATAGCCAAAGAAATCGTTGTCCAAGCTGCTGGCTCGGTTGACGGCGAAAAATCTACAGAAGCGCGCATCGTTTTCGAAACGAAACGAAACCAAAGCAAACGAGACGAAACGGGGAATCTATGACCAGAGGAGTTCACGCGCGGCACGAGCGAAGCGCTGTCCGACCGGTAATTTCGATGCATGCTGGGTCGCCGCGTCGGTGTTTGCGATCCAACGGTCGCGCGAACAACGTTCGTTGTTTCGCGAACGAGTAATAACCTTCGAAGGAAAGGAGAGCATACGCGTGCAACGAAGTCGTGGTCGTTTAAGACCGGAAGACGCGGCCCCAGGTAGTTATTAAGATGACCCGACGGGACGATCGGAGCCTCAACAATGACGATGGACGGGAAAAAATCATGGGACCAGCTTTGTACCGATGGTAGAGAACGAAAAGAAATATTCGCAGAAACAATCGTCGAAATATTTGCCGAGGCCTTCGCCGAAGCTTTCGCTGGAACGAGGGGGTGTACCGACGGTCCGGCTCGACGGAATACACTCGCAGGGGTGTCGAGTGGGGCGACAGAGGGCGGCGAGAGGGGTGAAGAGAAGGGTGGAAAATCAGAGCGATATCGACCACGAATTGCGCTTGCGTGGAAAAAGGCGCGCAATCGCCGTCGAGGAAGCGACGTATCGTCGCGGAGAAGAAGCTTTCGCAGTCGGTCGATCGTCGCGGCGACGAGCGCCGAGCTCCGAGCTCCGGGCGTCGAGCAACGTCGTTCCGTTACGTTCCGTTCAGTTTCATTCCGTTAGCTTTCGTTTCGTTTCGTTCCGCTTCGCTTCGCTTCGATCCTCTTCGATCCGATTCGAATTAAGTCGAATCGATCCGATCCGATCCGAACCGAACCGATCAGATCCTATCCGACTTGATCCGCAAGGCACCGTAACTCGACGACGACCAAATCGTAACGCGACGACCGAATTCTTTGACGGCCGGGCAATTCGAGAAATTCGGGCGAGCGCCGACCTCGAATAAGCGACTGTTTCGTTCTAGTTGAAGAGGCTTGTGAGCAACTCTTAGAACGAAACGTCAGATCCTAACCTACCGGGACGCGTTTACAGAGTCGACGCCGTCGCCGTCTCACCACTTCCGGTACATTCCATCTTTCCGTTCTCGGTGATTCGAACGCGTGCACGAACTGTCCAGCAATCGGAGCGCCACCTTCGGTCGGAGATGGTTTTCGATGAGCGTACGTCGACGTAATTGACACGAAGGTTCCGCGACCCTGTCGAAACCCCTATAAAAATCCGACGAAACGATCGGCTCGATTACGCTCCAGCACCGTTCCCCCGCGTTCGTTCTTGCCGTGTTGCCGATCGAATCGCGAGTCACGCGTCCATCGAAAAACTCTAGCCGCGTTAATGATTTTCGCCGATAGCTCGCGGGAAGGAAGGCGCGACGCGAGCCGCGAGATAAATTCGCCCGAAGCGGCGAATAAGAAATCGATATCATAGAAGCGTTCGCCCGTCGCGGGTTGCGTCGAGTATCCAATCGAGAGACCGATAGACCGGGCCGCGCGACGCTACGGAAGAAAGAGACGGAGACGGCGGCTTTTCCGTCGAAAAGATAAGAGTCCGATAAGCAACCGTGGTCGAGTTACAAACGCGCCTTTGCCGACCAGCAACTCTCCGTTCCGTCGATCCGTTCGTTCGGTACGCATCCCGTAAGTAATTCCACGGATTTTTCGATGCCGGCGACTAAACGGTGAGCCGAATGGCGATCGTCGATACGCGAGAAAGCGGCTCGAGTCGTGCGACTGCGACTTCCGGGGCCGAATCAACACAGGAGGAAGTTGAATTGACGGAACTGTTGCCGGTAAAGCAGTCGAGGATCAGGGAAAACGGAATCTTTGCGAACTCCGTCAGTGGTGGTGATGGCAACGCCGGTAGTGACGGTAACGCAAAGATAAGCGGCGTCGTTCGTTCGAACGGGAATGGAAACGCGAACGCGACAACGGATGCTTTGAAAGCTCTTCGGCGCTTCGATGCCGGTGATCGCAACGAGAACGAACGGGAATTTCATCTGCGAAACTTTGCTTCTCGCGAAAAAATAGGAGATCGAGGAAAACGGGAAAACGGAAAGAGATCTGCTCGAGTGGAAAAATCGGTAACGGAGAGGAAAGAAAAAGGCGAAGGAATCGCGACGATTCGGCGAAAGCGAAGGGACATTACGAGGAGGAGCAACGAGACGGTTCTCGCAAATTGCCCGAAAAAGGGAAGAATCGAAGGTTTCGGGGTTGGATTAGTCCAAACGGGCGAACAGAACGAAAAGAAGAGCAAAGGGAATAACGGCGGCGAATCAACGCGCGATCGAACTGTGGAAGGAAGCGAGCGTAGAAACGAAAAGACGTTCGTTTTTTCGGTATTCGGCCAAGAAGAAGATGCGTATCCGACGTATCAGACGTATCAGACTTATCCGGCACATCCGACGTTCAACGAGAACAAGGATTTCACCGCGGAAATTTACGCGTTCCGTCGGGATTCTTTGGATTTGAACGCGGCGCTCGACCCAGTGCACGACAAAGTCGCGAATCGAATCTACGGGAACGATTACTCGTCGAGCACCGACGGTTCGTTGTTCGACCGTGGTTTCGATCACGGTTGCGATCCGAATGGAAAACGTCCGAGTTTCGACATTGAGGCCGTTCTAACGGCCAATTATTTTCTCGAAAGCGAGAACAACAACGTGTTGCGATCAAATCCGGACAAGGTGGCAGAGATTTGCTCCGGCTCTTTGATACCAGCCTCCAAGATCGACGTTTCTTCGTCGAGCAAACACGAGTACAACGATGACAACGCCGAAGGTGAGAACGCAAGTCGAAACCGCGTTTCGGAAGGAGATGAAACGGCGGGAAGAAACGAGACTCGTCGATCGTCCTCGACGAACGACCCGGACAACGGGAATAGAAGGGGAAGCGTTTTCGGTAACGAAAACGAAAGCGAAAACGGCAACAATAACGGCAACGGACAGGAGGAAAAGAAATATTGCTGCGTGGTGTGCGAGTCCCGGTTCAAAGGCAGTGGAGGCTTGCGCAACCATTACAAGATAGTGCACGGAGCGGGACCGATATTCAAATGCGACGAGTGCGGCAAAGAGTTTCCACTGAAGGAGAGATTGAAGCTTCACGTAAGAACTCACACGGGGTTTAAACCGTACAAATGTCCGGAATGCGACAAGAGTTTCGCGAGGGGTGGACAGTTGGTGCAGCACCGGCGCACTCACAGCCAGGTAAAGCCGTATCGTTGCGGCCTGTGCTCGGGCACGTTCACCTGCGCCGCGAACCTCGCGCTCCACGTGAAACGTCACAACGGCCAAAAGGATCACAAGTGCGAGATTTGCGGACGGGCGTTCGTACGGCGGGACGCGTTGAAAAAACACTTGGAATGCCTTCACAGGGACGTGAAGTCGTTCCTCTGCGTGATCTGTAACAAAACGTTCAAGGGTCATCTGCCCCAGCACATGAGGACGCACGCGCGAGACCGGCCCCACGGATGCGCCACTTGCGGCCAGAGATTCGCGCAAAAGTCTCAGCTGACCGTCCATCAGAGAACGCATTCGGGCCAGAGACCGTTCAGATGTTTGGTCTGCTGGCAGGCGTTCGCGCATTCGACGGCGCTCAAGCTGCACACCAGAAGACACACCGGGGAGAGACCGTTCAAGTGCGCCGAATGCAACGCCGGCTTCACTCAGCTACCCCACTGGAAAAAGCACATGAAGTGCATCCACGGACGAACCGAGCCGTACGCTTGCAAACGTTGCAAAAGCTTCTTCAGGATCAAAAACGATCTCGAGTGCCACGAGAAGACTTGTCATTCCGAACTCGATTCGAGCAATCCGGACGGTAGACCCGGCGCGAACGCGTTCTTCGACGACATCCTCGAAAAACCCACGCCACTGCCACCGCTGCAGACCGCGTCGATCCCACCGACTACGCCGACCATCCAAACCACCCAGACCACCCAACCCTCCTCCAAATACAGAACGATGTCCGTCGAGAGGATGAGATTGTTGCTGGCAGTTCTACTTAAGAGAATCAGCAAGCAAGAGCGTCTCGACGAACTCGGCTTTGGCAAACGATTAATCGACGAAGTGCTTCGAGACTCTTTACTGTCCGCCGGCAAGGATCCGATCGCGCGCGACGGTCTCACCGAACTTGAAACGCTCACTGGAAATCTCGAAATATTCCTCAAATGGACGGTACCTAAGGAACATTGGGAAAACTTTTGCAAACTGAACAAGACACCCGAGGATATCTTGGAAACGCTTACCGCCACCTAAACGAATCTTCCATAATTTCGTTTCTCTCGTCCCTTTCCGTTCCATTTCATTCAATTCCATTCCATTCCATTCCATTCCATTCCATCCCCCTCTTTCTCTTTCTCTTTCTCTTTCTCTCTCTTTATTTCATTTCGCTGGCTTCGATCACCACCTCCTCTTCCTCGACCATATTCCAAATTAGAGGCTGTACACTTGTACACTTTAAGTTAACCTCGCTACAAGCTAGTCTAAAGTGCAACTTACAGTGCGAATAATTTGCCTCCTCCGTTCGATACGGTGTGCGTAGATTTCTCAACCGATCGAATCGTGATTCGATCGACCGTGGTCCTCGGTCGGTGTTACGGTCTACGCTCGATAAATGCTAGGTAAACGCACGGTAAACGCTACTGTTGTTTTCTTCGCAGTGCCATACGCGTAATCGTATCGCTGAATTTCATTTAAGGTCAATTCAGAGTCAGTATTTCGCGTCCCGAGATGAGAAACGGTAAGCGTTGCTCGACCAACCGCAGCGTTCCAATCACGAGGAAAACAGCTAGAGTTTCATCGTAAAACCGAATTTTTCCGATCGGGAGTGGAAAATTCCTGCAGATTTCTTGCCATATTTGTTAACGATATTACGATATTATGTGTGTAGATGCATGGAAGTGTATGCACTTGCGATGTCATCGAAATGTCGCCGTTATCGCACGTTTTTAGAGTACGTTCGCTTAGGTTCACGAGCTATGATATTTTATCCGAATCGAAGAGGCTAAACGCGATCCTATACTTTACGACGTTTCGTCTATTGCGATATATACACGTATACGCGCATATTCTTTCGACTGAACGTCATCGTCCTACATTTTGTGCCCGCGAGAACGTGCACAGGTACGCTTCGCGCGTTCAGAACTTGGTCGCGGCTCGTTATTACCGATAGCGTGTCGATTTCTTTGGTGCAACGCGATGCTTTCGGCTCGTACGGTTACGATTTATTTGTCGGCGAACTGAAGCGTATCTGAAGCGTATCGGAAGCGTATCGGAACCGTATCGGAACCGTATCGGAAGGAGAAAGAAACTACCAGTGCGGCGCAGAGAATACAGTCACTTCGAAGTTCGAACGTAGAGACTTCGACGCCGAAACCTCCTAAACCGATTCGCTGGCTCTCGGGACTCGCTTCGTTTTTCCTATAATGGATATCGTTGTTCGCTATCGAACGCTTCCACGCGCGTTCGCGTTTATCGTTTCAACTGCTCGCCACGCATTACTCCAAAGAACTCGACACCCTTTAGATAGCGGTGTAAGTAAATGTGAGCAGACAATAATGAAAAAGGTTACAAGATTGATATACATATATTAGTCATTGAACAAAGATATATACATATGCATATGCATATACGTATACATATACATATACATATACATATACATATGCAAACACGTACTCGTACACGTACACGTACACACGCGTATGCGATTATACTTACATTATAAGGTAATTGTGCGATGCGTTTCAGAGTGAAAAAAAGGCATTTGTTTTCTATTGTATTGGTATTATAACCCGTAACATTTTCAATTCGTCGATCGTGTTTTAATATTATCGAGAATTCGACAAGGTGCTATTCAGTGTTGCGCAATATCTTAAACATCGTCGAACCAACAGTCCACGCGTAAGAATATTCGATTTGCTTGTATTCGCGAAACCGTTGGATATTTAGTTCCAAAGAGTATGAAATTTCATCCACAATTCAATGAATTCGACGAAAATTCGGCAAAACACTCGACGAGAATAAAACATTGTCGTGGAAAGTGGACGATTGTTGCCGCGAACCGCATATCGCTTCGAAATATATTCGAAAGATCGAAATCTACTTTTCCGTTTGTCGTAGAAATGCAAACAGAGGTCGCGGTACATTGAATGTAGAATATAAATCGAGGTCAAAGGAGAGTCGAATGTATTCGGTCGCGTTCGAAAGAGGAAACAAAGAAGGAGAGACGGAGGAGGAAAAGAAAGAGTAACGGAACTAAACGAAGCGGATTTCGATGTTTCGAAGATAAGGTTTCGCTCTGGTGTTATTTTTAAGTTACGGTGCCAAAGAAGAAAAATAACGTTGTCGATTAACCAAAAGTTGTCGGCGTCGTGTGCGCGAAAGATCGCGCTTTGTTATCCTTTACCGTTTCTCGCGTAGGAATCGCGTATAACTGTTGCGCGTTTTTCTCATATATTTTCGTTGAACGCATTATCAAAAGATTTAAAGTTCTATTTATTGTTTTCCATTAGTGCCATAAATATTACTATTCTGCATTATGTACCGTACACTGTACCGTACTGTACGATAGAACGGTGATTCGAATAAAATGTTTTTTCTTTACAGTTGTTATTATTATTACTTATATATGTATTTATATATGAACTTGTATACAAAGATAATACAAACAGATTTACGAATATCATAGCGTCAGAAAACAGTATTTGAGAAAAAGATATACACATACTTGTAGCTAAATACGTATTTGCATATACAATCATCGTAAAAAAGTCGTCAGGGCGATATCCTACGTATCACACGAATAACCATTACTCCCAAAAAATGCAAAACGACAATTATCGTTCCCAATAAGAGCGGGCTTAACGCTGCTTATCGTTAATCGGTGTTTCGCTTAATCGCTCGTACTCCCATCGAAGCGTGAATTCGTTCCTCAGATCAGTCTGTAACTTGTTGGCGAGCAAACTCTGAAAAATTCCAAAACGATTGAAAGTTGAAATGTTGTGAGAGAGTACACGGAACACGAGACAAAAGGAGAAGGCTAACACACATTTTCGGTAGCGTTGTATCGGTACTCGATCTCGCGACCATTTAACGAGACTCGCGAAACATGCGGCGCGACACCCCATATTTGTATCCGATCGAGGATTACCGGCTCGTCAAAGGTAGTTTCGTTCGACATCGAAGCAGAAGAAACAGTGTTATTTTCCACGAGGACTGACAACCACAGAAACTGTCCTTTTTCAAGAGAGTCTGGAAACAATTCAAGTTAACAACGATTTCGTGAAATACTTAAGAAATTCACGACAGTGCACAGTATGTATACGCAACGTTTTGATATCATGTGCTCGATACCTAAGCTATCGCCGTCGTCCCAATATAATTCTCCTTGGGCTGTTTCCTTTTGATCCAATACGATCAACAGGTCGAAACCGTTCTTCCTGCTGTCGGTGGTAGTGAGAGCTGGCTTTTGCCCAGGCAAAACGGATCCTCCACGAATCATTAACGGTATAGTGTCGAGCGGTGCATCCAACGTGCACCATTTACCGGGACCACCCAGCAGACTTTTTTTCGTATAAAAATCATACCACACTCCTCGTGGCAGGTAAGCTGTCACGTTTACCTCGTTCTGGCGGCAAACAAACGTTACAGTGATCAACCATCATTCATTTTTCACTTACTCGACTATTCGACATTTACGAGTTCTTTACTCATCCAATGTTCGAACGTACTTCTTTCAAGACGGGAACAATCATCAAAGAACCTCCCCATAGAAACTGTGTATCGATATCACGAGTGATCGGATCCTCCGGGAATCTAAAAAACCATTCAACGTCCAATATAGTTTCGAAAGAACGGACGGACGATATTTGAACTTGCACACACTTACTCGAAAAATAACGGACGTACTACAGTTTCTCCAAATTTGTGCGCTCGGAAAAACAAAGTATACAAATAGGGTAAAAGCCAATATCGTATCTTGAGAGCGCGTTTCGATGATCGTATCACCAACTCGCCCAAAGCAGCTGGATCTTGCTCCTACTTACACGTATATGTGCATATACATACCGTACATATCGAATTGAATATTTTTTTTTACATCCCTTACATATACATACATGCATATGTGTATACATAAGTTTATACATATGCATATACTGTTATGTATACATACAAAACTAAATGTATTTTTAATTTAGAAATTATATATACGAACTACAGTGTCGTCGGAATTGTGATTGCGAGAGAAAGGATAAAAAGCGCCGAGTTGCATCCAACGATTACACAGCGCGACCGTAGCATTCCCATTGAATCCACAAATGTCTGCGCCGACCATTGGTATTTGATAGAAATTCAACGACAAAATTGCGGGGATGGTCATTTTCATATCATACCTGATCAATTAAAATGAAAACTATTAACCGTACGTTCGACCAGATTTCATATTCCACACACACATGCATTTAATTCATTTACCATGAGGAATAAAGATCTCCTGTCCAATGACCGGCGTAATATCCGTGTCCCACCCACGTTGATCGCGAGATTATAAACGGTCTTTTCTTACGAATATTGACCAGGGCACTGCACTCGATTCGTCTCAATTAATAAATTTATTCAAATTTCCACATTGGCCAACATCTCTCCGATACTTACTAATTCGTAGCTATCGCGTGGCTGGTACCGTACGTATTATGAAGATCGTAGTGTGTTCCTAAATAGTGTTTCGCGTTCATGCACAAAGTTTTCGTCCTGAGTTTACCACCCAACACGTTGGGTACGTACACCGGATAATCCAAATCATTCTTCGAGCATACATTCTTACAACCGTCGTAGAAATTTGACGGTTCGTTCATGTCCTAATGAATGCGAAAAGCGAATAAAATTTGTCGTGTTTACATGTGTGTGCGTACATTTATATGCGTGTGTATTAGTGTACAGGTGTACACGTTACAACATTGATTTTCGTTTAATGGAATGAACAAATATACATACGATCCATGCTCCGTCGTATGCAAAACTCTCGTGCATCAAGCTCATCATCCGCAGATAATAATCTGGCGCTTTAGGATTGGTAAAGTCAGGCCAAACCGTGGAAACATAATTCCAAACTTTCCCGACGCAGATGTTGTTCGTTTCATCCTTCACGAATATATCGTCCTTCAGGCCTTCATCGTACGGCAAATAAGTTCCGTTCCTTTCCGAGGCGGATACGCCAGCATCGATCAATGGTATGTAATGCATTCCCCTCTGCGCGACACGTTATGTTTAATATACGCGTTGCTGAACAACTTTTATATTATATATTATACTAACGATCCGCACACGTTAAAATCGTACCGTATGAAGTTCTTCTAAGAATTGGGGCAGATCCTTGAACTTTTCCGAACTGTACGTGAAATCGTTGTTTTTATCCATGTAATCCAAATCGTTCCATTGAGTATCCTGAATAACATAAAATACGATAGTTAAAGCAATTGAAATTAACTCAATTAAACAGACATTCGTCTAAGTCTACACGTATAGAGAAACGTAGATATTACAAATGGAATTCCTGCTGCTATCGTTCGCTTCCATACTTCTTTCGTTCCTTCCAAGCTACCGTATCCGTACCTACGTTACCGCAAGATACATTAAACGAGGTTTAACTCACTGTTTATGCGAATCTAACATTTGTACCTGCACAAATGAAACCCTAGTGACCAGTATGGAGGCAAAAATGGTTTGCCCACTATTTTCGAGTATTGTTTTATTACATCGGCTGGTGTTGGTCCCAGAAAAAAGTAAATATCGAAAATGCCACCGATCGTTCGAAACGTAATTGCTGGTGATGGTTGTAATATCACGTCTGAAAAAATCGAAAATTATTTGTAAACGATACGTGTATAGCCTACTCATTCAAAAGTAATGAACAAGTATGTTTTTTAAGAATTTAATACCCATAGCGTTACTGTTCAGCAACAATACTCCGTGAGATTTCCCTGAATTTTCAACGACCAAATAAAAAGGATGAGATCCGTATAAATTTGCCTGAATTCAAAAACATGTTCTTTACATAAAGAAACGAGAAATACATTCAGTTACGCGTTAACATACTTTTTCTACTGGTGGTTGATCCTTGTTAAATAACGTAAAACTCTGCCAGGACGTGTTCAATTTTAAATTCGACTGATGTTCACCAATACCATAAATGTTATGAGATGCTAAGAGGGAACTTATTTGTAAAAACTGGTCTGCAAATATGAAACCTCCGATACCAGTCGAGTCGAACCTGAATATGAAGAAAAAACATTAATATTTAATAACAACATAGGACTTTATATGATTGCTTGGTTATTTAAATCTATATACGATTAGCATGTAAATTTATTCGAAACACATGTACTTACAACACTGTATTGTCTGAGTTGTTTGAGGCTCTGTATACTTTAAAACCGGGTTTCGTAGTATCGATATTCAATGTATATTTTGCATTAACATTTCGCCCCTCAAATGGTTTGGAATCAGGTCTGATAGGCCACGGCGGTTCGTATCTCTTTTTATTTGCATCGTATATTTTTAAACGCAAAATCGAATCATCTATGTCACTGGCTTCCACCTTAAGAAGGGGTAGGTCTTTTTTATAAAAAGAATTTCCAATTAGCTGAAGAAATCCAGAGAACTCATTCCCAATCTGGCTGTAATTTCTGTACTTGTACAAACTCCAATTCTTTGGATAATAACAGTAAGGAACATTCAATGGAGCACGTGTAAGGGTTAAAATTTTAGTGTACGGTGGTTTCCAGCAACAACCTCTACGAATACAAGATAATTCTGTTACTCCATCCTCAGGATGGCAATCAAATCGTAATTCTTCTGGTATATTTTTACATTCCTGAAAATAAAGCTTATTGCAATCGAAACAGGGTAGGTGACAAATTTATAATTACCTGTATAATCTTAGATGCTTTATATATTCTCTTCATAAACATTACATCGTATTGATATCCCTGGTTGCCAACCACAGTGTTCGAAACATCAATTAATAAATAACCTGTTTCTAATGTACTTTCATTGTCATGCATAGAATTTATATTTATTCGGTACTTTTCAATAAGAACATATCTAGACTGTCTGATAAATAACACCAAAGCACAAAATAAAATAATCGATAATACCACTCTGATAACATCGCATGGCAATATATATCTTAAATACGTATTTGCAGATGTATTCCTGGTTAAATGTTTCCTTTGCTTGGCAGTATCATCCATAAATGCATCTACCATTGGAAGTTCTGATAAATAATAATTTTCTGAAAAATTTGATTTTTCTGAGTTTTCTTTAACGATTGAGTGATTCACACCTTTGATAATCATCTTGATGAGATATGGTTTTCTAAGCTGTAAACAAATTATCTGTTTGTCAAATAATTAATTTCTTTATTGTATTTTCGAACGTAAAGAAACAATCCTGAATAACAATAATATATTGACTGATCGCATAACCTTAAAGTTCTATATGAAATATTATACATACATATTTCATAAAGTAAATCATGTTTTTAACAATATCCTATTACAAATATTTTAGTTCACATTACCTTTCCGTTGAAAAAGTAACACGATCTACTAAATTTACGATTACTCTTGTAACATAGTTTTCACATTGACTGCACCAAAAATTATACGATAATAAAATGTAAGAATATAAATTTGATTTATTTGCACTTGTCGACTTATAATCCTTTGTTCAAAGGTATTCGTATACTGTAAGATGTCGCGTCTCGTGACACTAACAAAGAATATGAAACAACTTAGTCAACTACACACCCCTTTAGCTTATCTCTTATTTCATTTTATTTTTAGTTTAATGATCAGCATGCGAGTACTCGCAGTCGTTTAAACGGGGCTTTGTTTAACGACACAATATTAACATTTTACATTGTAAAGCGTTTCCGC